ATGACGGAGAGCTTGGGGTGAGTTGGCTAACAGACTTCCTAAACAATGTAACGGCTGAAGGAAGGATGCCAGATGCGTGGAGGAGCAGCACAATCGTCCCCTTCAAACAGAAAGGGGACGCGACGGAGTGCTCCAACTACCGCGGCATCAAGTTGACTCCCCATACCATGAAGCTGTACGAGCGCCTGGTCAACACTAGGCTGAGGGAGCTTGTCCCTATCTCGCAGGAACAGTTCGGCTTCATGCTAGCCTTCCTGGACCTTGAGAAGGCATTCGACCGCCTGCCTCGGCCTGTACTCTGGAGAGCGCTGAGAGAACGTAACGTTCCGGAGCACCTGTCTCCATAGTGAAGGATATGTACGATGGGGCTAAAGCAGCTGTACGCACCCCGCACGGCTTGACGAAAGAGGTAAACATCACGGTTGGGGTACCAAGGATCAGCCCTCAGCCCGTTCCTCTTCCTCCTGACTCTAGATGTCATGGCAAAAGAACTCATGGAGGGACCACTGAAAACCATCCTCTACGCTGACGACATCGCCCTGATAGCGGACAGCAGGGAGGAACTCCAGGACAAGGTGCAGCGGTGGCAGGATGTGCTCGTTGGACTCCGGTTGAACGTGAAGAAGACCAAGTTCCTGAGCTCTGAAGAGTGTACCGAACCCATCGTAGACCGTCACGGCGAGAGCATCGAAAGGGTCGAGGACTTCCAGTACCTGGGGAGCGACCTAGCAGCTGATGGCAGCGTGGACCAGGCGGTGAAGGCCCGAATCAACGCAGCCTGGATGAAATGGAGGGAGTCCACTGGCATCCTGTGCGACCGGCGGTGCTCGAGAACGCTCAAGGGCAAGGTGTACCGGGCGGTGGTAAGGCCTACAATGCTCTACGGCAGTGAGTGCTGGCCCATCTGCAAGAACCATGAAAGGCAGCTCCACTCAGCTGAAATGAGGATGCTGAGATGGGCCTGCGGCTGGACACGACTCGACAGAGTCAGAAACGAGGACGTCAGGGCGGTCACACAGACGGCTCCGATCCAGCTGAAGGCACGAGAGCAGCGACTGCGATGGTATGGGCACGTGCTGAGAAGGCCTGAGGACCACCCAATAAGGAAGGCATTGGAATTCGAAGCAGAGGGCAAGCGACCACGAGGAGCCCCAAAGAAAAGATGGAGGGACGTCATCAAGAAGGACCTCACTGAAGTGAAAGCCACGGCAGAAGATGCAGTGGATCGGAACAAGTGGCGACGTCTAACAAGAACAGCGGACCCTGCGGAAATAACGCTAGGGAGAAGAAGGTATGCTTCTAGAACACATATTTTTTGCCAAGAGTATTGGGAAATGGTTCATTTAGTGCCGATTGGCATACCTCTGTAATGCGCTATGCATACGGCTCCCACGTAGAGGTGTTGACAAGTTTTAACTTCTAGCTAAGGCTTCCTCGTGCTGGCACTCCACGCCACGAACGCTACACCGTATCCGCACATCACCTTTCTTTCGTGAATGTTGGGTATTGGCGTCTTCTTTCTGTCCTGCTTCGTCAACCCACTAAGCACGGCGGTGCATATTAGAATAGAGTACGCATTTCTCATCTCCGGTGACAGATTGGCGTGCCTGCGCTTGAGTGTGAGAATTGCAAGCTTCACTTCTGCCGTGTTGCATCAATGAGTATGGTCACACACCCAATTTCTGGATCTTGCCTATCGACTTTAATTCATAAAAAAACTATCCTGTGGGGAACATCGGGGTTGTTTGAATTGTCGAGTGGGTTAGTCGGGAATTGCTTCACACAATTCTGTAGCAGTCCCAAATCCATTGCCACTAAACGCTCAAGCCTGTCATCATCTTCGATGGAGAAATCATTTTTCTGAAACTCTCCTTATAAACCCTCAGCAGGCGTGGATAAGATTCATTGGTTTAGGGCAGACAGGTGGGAAGAGCATAAAGTTGCTTAAAAGGTATCAGGTGACACAAGGCATTTTTTGTACATTAGTAAGTACTCAATGCAATTTATAGCCCCTAACTCTATCGATTCACTGCTGACTCGCCCCTATCACGATATGCAAATGAGTTGCAAAACCAAGACCAAAGCAGCACCATAGATTCAGAAAACAGTACAATTCCTTCCTGGTCCAAAGATCGGGTGATTGTTCTAATTTTTGCTTCTAGCCAGTCTCGCAGGTGGTCTGGAGTGTATCAGCGTTCTTTCAGGGTTACTTATGGAGTCGAAATTAGTTTTATCCCCTATCACACATAAACCTATCAAAATACGTGTTGGCGTCCATGCTGGCCCTGTTGTTGCCGGAGTTGTCGGTATGAAAATGCCACGGTATGTTTACGAAGTTCAGTTAACGGAGTATCAATTGTCATGTGTGCTCTTTGAAGGTACTGCTTATTTGGAGACTCCGTCAACGTTGCGAGTAAAATGGAAGCTTGCGGTGTTCCAGTGAAAATCCACGTCTCGGAGAGTGCGAGAACTAACGGATTGCGAACAAATCAAAATTTTGTATTCGTTGATAGAGGATTCACTGAAATCAGGGTGAGCTGAGCTGTTAAGTTAACAATTAATTTGACAGAGATGCAATTGCATTGACTTGTTATGAAGGTTACAAAAGTGGTGACAATCAATGAATATATACCATTTTCACTTTAAATTCACCCTTTTTCAAACCAAATTCACCCTCACTTTTCATCAATTAACCACACTTATTAGGGCGGGCAACTCATCAACCAGATCACGCCAGACATCACTGCGAGCCCCGCCCCGACGGCCACGCCCACTTGTCAGCGCGGACATAGATTCTCAAATCTTGTTTCATAACTTCTGCTTTTGCTGTTTCCCACAAACACTTTGACTGGAAACCACCGTGCATTCACACATGGCCGACTCCATTCTCTAAAGGGTTTGGCACTCTAG